AACTTACATCCTCATGCGACCATTTCTTTCAAAAATTCAAACACTACAACTAGTGTTCGAATTCCCCTCGCCGATTCCACCGCAAGAAATAACCTGTGCCACCCAAGCTTCGACTCGAACATGAAGTACGAATCAAGTAACATAACTGCTTCATCTTTGCGGCAATATCACGCTGGTATTTTGATTTTCCGATCTAGGACTATCAGTCTAAACAGTGAAGGCATGCTTTGTGGTACAGACAACTTTTATTTTATTCTCATAACTTTCTCCTTTAAATTAGAACTGATATTAATTAATCGAGTTATCAATATATTTTTAACCGGGTACCCGTATAACCTTTTTGCTTTTTTGTCATCAGTGGTATAAAATAAAATGTCTTTTCCACCAGAACCTTTTATTTATGCCCCATTTCACGGAATGAACACTATACTTAGAATGTTTGCTCTAAGTAATTTTTCTGTTCCCAAGAATGTATGCAAAGTGATAGAGATTTGATTCATTCCGCTGACACGTTCTTTTAAGTTATGGCGCATGCAGGTTTTTTCTATCAAAAGTCGCGCGTGCAACACACCGGAATTGAAAATTCGTCGTAAAATTGCACGAACCTTAGAATGAGTTCAAAGGAGATGAGATGGTTCAAAGGACCCCTTGAGATTTTTTTCAGGACTGTAACTGAGATTTGTTAATAACTATGATAATCGTCATCATTAGCGGACGGTGCTTTTTGCCCATTGTTGTCATCATTATCGTTATCAAGCCGGAAGAAGTATAAAGCCGGCATGTCGCCTTACCTAGGTACACAGAAAATTGTTCTCTCTTTTGCTCCCCTTGCTCCTAGAAACTTTTGATTAACAGAATGTAGGAAAAAATCGGTGGGGAGAGTTTTTCGCGTATCTTATAATCTGAACGATAGTTTTAAATAAAACAAATAACAATTCCTTCAATTTACCTTAGTTGTCTCGTGTTTAAAAGTGGCGCTTATGGGGACCGTAGATTCTTCTCTGATTCTTCTTGTCTCAGCCAAGACTCACTATCATCAACTTTTTTCTTGTGCTTCTTACCGCATGGGACACAGAGAGCTGAGGTAAGCGATTGCAAATTTCTCAGTTAAAGTAAAGCCCAGTAGCATCCATCAGGAATTAAAAACCGACATGTACTGTTTAATTTTATTATTCTTAATCAAATAAGGGGTGTTTTAGTCTGCAAATTTAATCATATCGGTTAATGAGAATCATACAAACTGAGGAAAACTGACCGCAAATAATTGTGAACCGTACGCATGAGTAAGTCGATTGCGTTGTCAGGTAATTTGATCTTCTACAAAAACATTATTGATTATCAACCGAGCAACTTTGTACATATTTCCATCTGTGATGAAAAGCACTTACACATAGATCTATTTTTTTTCAACGTGATGTGTACTTAAGTACTCTTCATCTAATAAAGAATTTCTTCTCTTTTCGAGCAGATATGTCACGTGACAAAAATAGATAACAGAAAATGTTACTGAAGACCACCTGATTCAACTGGAATAATAACTCCAAACAGCTTTTGAACGTCCTGAGACATATGCAAGGTAATTACATCTCTGCCTTGGATACGCTTCCTGACACTATCTTGATCAGGATACTGACGTGTTACCTTTTCACTTCTCCAAAACCTCCCCAGAGTGTAGCGATGCCTATAGCAAATCCACATTTTTTTGTTTATCCTCCTGAGCGAGGTGAAATAGGCCAATCCTTGCCAAGATTAGCTCATTTTCCCTTAAAAACCTCTTTAGACAGGTGGCAGCTTATCAAATGATGAGGTTTAGAGCAGCTTTAAACCCAGTATGAAAGGAAGTGCAGAGTTGCAGCTATTTACTTTTGCTTATTCAGGATTTTTCATTTTTTTCATCTTTTCCACCTGCTTTTTAACCAGCAAGAGGCAAAGCTAAAACAAATCATGATTAAAAAAATCCCTTTTCTACACTTCAGGAAGGTTTGGTGCGTTAACTTTGAGTTTTCATGGCTCCTTCTAAAACCTTTGTTCTGATCAGTTCATGATCAGCATTCAGACAGTCGTACCAAACCACTTAAGCCACACGATGAACCAAAGTTTTTTGTACCACAAAGCATGCCTTCACTGTTTAGACTGATAGTCCTAGAGCTTTTTGAGCATGCATTCGAATATCTTATGACGATAAGCCCGCCAACCACCCCACCCCGCGCTATGCTGTTTTCACCTAGCGGCTGGTCAGCGGTCACGTTTACCAGGTAAACAAACCGATCGATTCCTGATCACCGTTCTTGTCGATCGGAAAATCAAAATACCAGCGTGATATTGCCGCGAAGATGAAGCAGTTATGTTACTTGATTCGTACTTCATGTTCGAGTCGAAGCTTGGGTGGCACAGGTTATTTCTTGCGGTGGAGTCGGCGAGGGGAATTAAAAAAAAAAGTTGTAGTGTTTGAATTTTTGAAAGAAATGGTCGCATGAGGATGTAAGTTTAACGAACAATTTCAAATTTTGCCGCTTGAATTGAAAGTAAAGTTCATCTGAATTGCTTTCGTATGTATTTCTGACGGTTTTAGATTTACCTGCTTGATTTATATCGGTTACGCTTCATGTTGACAAGTCCCTCAAAATGGCGGCCAAACTTGGAGATTGCCGAAAATTAGGTAAGTTCACGGAGTTATAAAGTTCTCGTAAAGGTCGGGCCGCAAAGTTTTTTTCTGTAGTCATCTTTTCTATGGCACCTACTTCCTAGCTATGTTAGTTGGATCAGTTAAGAACGCCTCACTTTTTCAAAAATTTACTTTGAATTTGATCGGTTTTGGCGTGTTTGATTTAGGCGAACCGATAAGGTGTCATTCAAGTCTTCCTGTTTCCTTGATTGACACGTGATGTTTACGAAAGTCGCCTTGATAGATAAGATAGAGTTAATATACATGGCTATGGTATTTGTTTTTTGCTGAGTTCCGTAGTTTTTTGTAAATTGTCCTCCAAAGTTGTATGAAATTAAAGTCTTGAAAGTGTCACGACAAGCCTTCGCTCGAGTGAAATTTAATTTCCGTAAAACTCTGAAAAATAAAGAGATCCGATCAAACTGATTGTGGTTTTAGTATAGGTACATGAATGTCTTACAACACACGAGAAACGAGCGAAATCCGTGTCTCAAGCAAAATCGACCGGACCGCTCTTATAGAGACACTCTCTTAATGCTCTGGCTCTTTCCCGGGTTTGGTATGTGGCATCCCTCATTCACATGCCTCCTTGGGTCCTAAAAGAACTTTCCCTTCTTGCTTTCTCCTTTTTCTGGTCTGGCAAGCGTGAAGTAGTCTCGCGCTCTGTTGTTGTCCAACCCTCGCTGTTTGGTGGTTTTTCGGTGGTCAATGTCAAGCTTAAAGTCTGGGCTCTTCTCGGTCAATGGGTGAGGAGGTTCGCCTCCTCTTTTTCTGGCTGGGTTTCCTTCATGTCATTTTGGTTTAATCTTCATTTTGGTGCTTCCTCCCTTGACGTTTTTTCCCGGCCGTATTCTTATAACCCCAGGGTCTTGCCACCCTTCTATAGGTCTCTCCTTTTTGCTTGGCGCGGTCTGGATGGGTCTTTTTCGGTGTCTCGTGATGCCCTGGTCTATGGTGCGTCTTCCGCTCATGTCTGTTCCCCCGTGTCGATTTCGAGTACCAAGGCCTGTTACTTGTTCCTTTTGTCCGAAAGTATGGTCTCTCCTCATTGTGTGGAGAAGTTTGCTGGGGTCTATGGTGCTCTTGATTGGCCGGCCACTTGGCGTTCCCTTTTCTTTTTTGATCTGGGCCGTCAGGTGTCCGACCTGAGTTGGAAGGTTGCTCACGGTGTCCTCTATACAGCGCAGCGTCTTGGGTCTTTCGGGTTGCCAGTTCCTCTCTCTTACTTTTGTGGGGCTCCTGCGGAATCCTTGGAGCATCTTTTCTTTTCTTGTCCATTGGCTCAGAGTGTTTTGTCTTGGCTTCAATCTTTGCTGTTTGCTTTTTCCCCTATGTTTCCGGTTATTTTGTGTAGGCATGTTCTTTTTGGTTTTAATTCTGATGAGTTGCGTGTCATGCCTCGTATTTTTGTGTATTTGCTCAACTTGTCGAAGTTTCTGATCTGGCATTCCCGGAATGACTTTAGGTTTCGCGGTATCCATCCTGGCGCTGCCGAGGTCATCATGAAGGCTAAAGTGCGCGTGAGGTTCAACATCCCGCTCTTTTTCAAGCGCTTCATGTCCTCTCGCCGCCGTCGGTACTTTCATAGGCAGTGGGGTGCTCGTGGTGTCGTTGCGTCTGTTGTCGATGGTTGTTGTTTGGTGAATATCTAGTCTGTGTTTTACTGTTTCTGTCTTGCTTTGCTTTTATGGGCGTTTTTGTATACTGTGTTTTAGTGTATGACCCTAATCTGGGTATTTGTGTGTCTTGTCTGTGTCCTCTTGTGCTGGGTATCCTTTATTGATGTACTGCACGGGGGTCGCTTTGTGCTGCATGGCCCTAATCTGGGCATTTGGTGTGGTTCTGTTTTGATGTCCTCCGGTGCTGTGCCCTTGTGGGGGTTTTGCGTGTTGTGTCCTGTTCTGTTCGTGTTTGTGTTGTTGTCTCAGTGCGCGTGTCCTTCAGGAGTGAGTGTGTTCAATTTTTGCGAGGTGGGGTTCGATTCCCTAACGAAGTTGGTGTCTGGTGGCCCTCGGTTTTTGGTGGACCCAATCCTATGGCATTGCACTCTAGCCTAGGGTTGGATTAGGTCTGTTGATCGGCAGGCATTGCACTTCCCTCTCGGGAGCCTTACCGTTCGCCTCAAACATAAAAAAAAAACTACCCGAGAGGGTATGTGTGAGATTAAAATTAACCTCAGGTTTACACTACTCAAGAAGGTAGAGAAGAGGTTAAAATCAACCCTCAGGTATATACTACCCAAGAGGGTATAGAAGAGATTAAAATTAATCTTAAGGTATACATTACCAAAGAGGGCATTGGAGAGATCAAACAAATCCCTGAGGTACACACTACCCATGAGGGTATAAAAGAGATTAAAAGTGAATTTCAGGTATGCTCAACCCAAGAGGGTCTAAAAGAAATTAAAAGTAATTCTCAGGTATACAGTACCCGAGAGGGCATAGAAGAACTAAAAAATAACCCTCAGGTATACACTACCCAAGAGGAAATAGGAGGAATTTCAAATAACAATCAGCCATACATACACTCATGAGGGGACGCAAATCGTCTGTACTGTAAGTATCCCGGAGAGTCCCCTACATTTTCTTAGACTTTTAGTCTAAGAAATTTGAATTATTAGCGTCAGTAGAAAATAATCGTTCCTTCGCTTTTTAATTACTCAGGTCATTCTGAAAGACATGAATATGAAGGGTAGTGTCAATGGACATTACTTTGAGATAGAAGGTGAAGGAAAAGGAAAGCCCAACGAGTAAGTGTCTCTTAAAAGACAGACCATGCATCACAATTTATTGTTAAACAAAGAGTTTAATAAGATAACATTACATTTGTCAAATAAGGCCTGATATTCCGTTATCAATGATTTTTGGAAATTACCTAAATGAATAAAGACTTTTTTAAAAAGCAAAGTGAACAAGATCAAAGATACATAAGGAGATTTTTATTAACTATGAGCTTGGTTTTATCCGCGTTTGCAAGTTACCAACAGTCTATATATGACATCGACTTCTTCTGCTTCCAGAATTAGGCGAAGTGGAAAGCCACTGCAAATTATCGTATAAAAGCTCTGTCACGGCTAAATTTATTTGCAATATTTTAATTTCCTACAACTTAACAAGAAAGGTTATGCAGTATTTTACTTAAGTTTGAATTATCACGGGCATAACATATTTGGTTCTCCTTAATTTTCGTTTATTTCAGGTCATACAAGAGCCGTTTCTGAAAATAATTTCCAACACTCCTATCATCTTATTCTAGAGGAATACGGAAGTCCAATTATTGGTTTACTAAAGGAGGACCCTTCTCATTTTCCTCTGACGTACTGTCGTCAGCGTTCAAATATGGAAACAGATGCTTCACCGAATACCCTGGCGACATGCCCGACTTTTTCGAACAAGCATTTCCTGCTTGAATGTCATATGAAAATACCTTTAAAATTTGAGGATGGAGGAGTTGCTCCTGCCATCTTATTCCAGAGGAATACGGAAGTTCAATTATTGGGTCACTAAAGAAGGACCCCTCTCATTTTCCTCTGACGTACTGTCGTCAGCGTTCAAATATGGAAACAGATGCTTAACCGAATACCCTGCCGGTATACACATTAGGTATAAAAGTGGTGATTTCATCAAAGACTTGAATTTTTAGTTAAGATTTTTTAATTTTTAGTATTTATTTTATGTAAGTTGCCTCAAATCTTTGCTTAAAAATTCCCAGTAATTCTTAAACATTTCTAGAAAATTCCTGAAAATTCCCACGAATTTCTGGCAAGTTTTAAGATTAACAGCCTTTCAGGCACTCTTCCAAGTCCAACAAAAAATCTAAACAACTAAAACATTAACCTAATTAAACTAATTATTAGGTATAGACTACACAAGAGGCTATAGAAGAGATTGATAATATCCCTAAGGTATACACTACCCCAGAGGGTATGGGAGAGATCAAAAATTTCCCTCGGGTATACACTACCCAAGAGAATATGGGAAAGATCAAAAATATCCCTCGGGTATACACTACCCAAGAGGGTATGGGGGAGATCAAAAAATAACCCTCAGGTATACACTACCCAAGAGGGTATCAAAGAGATTAAAAATAAACCTCAGGTATACACTACCCAAGAGGGTCTAAAAGAGATTAAAAGTACTTCTCAAATATACAGTACCCGAGAGTGTATAGAATAACTAAAAAATAACCCTCAAGTATACCCTACACGGGAGGGAATCGAAGATACGTAAAATGACTCTCAGGTATACACTACCTTAGAGGGTATGAAAGAGATGAAAAGTAAACCTCAGGTATACACTACCCAAGGGGTTATGAAAGAGATGAAAAGAAAGAGAAGAGTAACATGTGAGATGTCGCTGGAAACCTCCCCGCTTTTAAAGAAGGATGCCCATTCAAGACTAGAAAACCATGAATTAGTTCATCGAGTAACTGGCCCAAAAGCGAGGTATTATGACAGTAGCCAGATCCGAAGCTTAGAAATAAGACACCGCAAGCTTTTCATGACAGACAGCTTTTTATGATCGACCCCTTTTCCGTCCTTTGGCCCTAAACAATACACATGGTAAGAGTGGTACCTCAGAAACTCGCGAATTAGAACAAGCAAAGCAACTAAGAATGCAGGCCAAATTCAAAGATGAACCGTTCTTTAGTAACCAGTAGTTTGTAGAAAAACCCAACTTACCATGTATGTATTATCGGAGAATACAAGACATTCGTGATTTTAAAGTATTAGGTAAAACATAATTTGTGCACGCACACTATTTTTAACACGTTTTTGACAAACAGCCACTTTTAATATCTTCAGCAGAGAGACTTCCTGCTTAAAACAATTACATTAGGAAAAAATTCAATCAGATGTTTGGGCCTAAGACTCTGAAGTAAATATTAATTGAGGACATATCTGCGGCCAGTCTAAGGCTGTTTAAGGCCCGATATGCAGACTTCATTTAAATAGCATCCTTGAGGACTGTACCATCGTTCTAGCTTGTTAGTCTATTTTAACCAGTCCATTTATATATTAGTGAAAAGCTTTAGATATCGTAAGTGTTCCCTAACAACAGGGCCTTTTTTCTCCTTCTCCAGACTTCATTTGACACTTTTATGAAGTCGCCATCATCATTAGCATAAGAATAACAATAATAGTAAGAGATAATGCTGTAGAAGGAAAGCATAAAGGTGATTATTATGTTCCTCATATGAGTCACTCGTTGAACTAGTTTATTGAAAGCTCAATAACCAAAAGATACATGTACATGTATTTTCTCCATTTTCATACTGCTATTTGGCTTTGCATCGGAAAAAAATATTTATGCAAATTAGCAAAGCAATTCAAGCTAAGGTTTGACGCCACTTGGTGGCATGAGGTGTTCGCTGAATATTCCAGGACATCCGATAATCGCCCCAGAAAGGTTAATAAAGCTCCCTTCGAATGAAATGGAAAAAACCGAAACTTCCGATGATTACATTTCTGACCATTTTCAAGATACAACTCTAATTTGTTCGCTCACTTTCCAGAAACAAGAGTCCAGAGAAATGCTTTATACAAACTAAACGGGTCTAATTCGAAAAAAACCTAAGGGGAGGTACGCTAAGCTTATTTTCTCTGTAGAGACAGTAAATGTCTTAAAGAAGACAACAATAAATCATTAACACAAGGTTTACAAATTGTCCTGACCAAATGTTAGAGAAACATGTAACAGGAACACTTTAAAACACGTAAAAAGAAGAAACTAAAAAATAGCAAAAAAAGCGACACCGGTAAAGCCGATTTCACCTACATGATCGAAGACCTAAGCCTATTTAAGGTTAACTCCAACAAACCCTTCTTTACACAGAACTTTTAAAGTCCAGAAACTGCGTTGGTTAGATAATCCTCCCCGTTTGGTCTACAAGCTTCGGCGCAATGCAACTAGTCTTATAATGATCTTTTATGTGCGAAGGTTTTGGAACGGCATTTTTAGCTTTTCCGAAGACATTACTCTTGTCAAAACGACTATACCAGGGAAGAAGCTGGTATAAAACACCGTTATTGCATTTAAGGTCATTGTGAACAAATTCACTCGTATAAAAATCGTCTTACGCGTCTGCCGTGTAAGGAGGGTAAAGAAGAGGTTAAAAATAACACTCAGATATACACTACCCAAGAGGGTATAGAACAGATTAAATATAACCCCCAGGTATATAATAGCCAAGGGGATATAGAAGAGATTAAAAGTAACCCTCAGGTTTTAAGAGAATAAAAATAACTCTCAGGTTTACACTACCCAAGAGGGTATAGCACAGGTTAAAAATAACCTTCATATATATACTACCCAAGAAGGTATAGAACAGATTAAAAATAACCCTCAGGGATATACTTCCCAAGAGGGTATAGAACAGATTAAAAATAACCCTCAGGTATATACTACCCAAGAGGGTATAAGAGACATCATAGATAACCCTCAGGTACACACTACCCAAGAGGGTATAGAACATATTAAAAATAACCCTCAGGTATATACTACCCAAGAGGGTATAAGAGACATCATAGATAACCCTCAGGTACACACTACCCAAGAGGGTATAGAACGGATTAAAAATAACCCTCAGGTATATACTACCAAAGAGGGAATAAAAAAGATTTAAAATAAACCTCAGGTATACACTACCCGAG